GCCGGTTGAGCTATAGGCGCCGAGCCGCACTTGGCTATTATTGATCATGTTGGCCGGGGGAAAGACTTTATAAAGAAGACTTCCATGGCAATCCCAACAACAAAAAAAATAAATAGGACTTAATTAAGCTGAAAAGCTTCTGCACAACTAAGGACACAACAATTAAAGCAAAAAGACAACCTTCAGAATGGGAAAAGATATTTGCATGTTATAAATGGGATAAAGGCCTGATCACTAGAATCTATAGACTCTATAGATTCAAATTCACACTCAAATTAATCAGTAAAAAAAGAGTAAACAATCTCATCTCTCACTGGGCATGAGACATGAACAGAAACTTTTCTGATGAAGACAGATGAATGAGCAACAAATGTTACGGAAAAATGCTCATCGTCCCTAATCATCAGAGAAATACAAATCAAAACCTCCCTAAGATAGCACCTAACCCCAGTGAGAACAGCCCACATCACAAAGTTGTAGATGCTGGCATGGATGTGGAAAGAAGGGAACACTTTTACATTGTTGGTGGGACTGCAAACTAATATAGTGTCTTTATTTATTTTTTTGAGACAGAATCTCAAACTGCCACCCTGGCTAGAGTGCCGTAGCATCACACCTCACAGTAACCTCAAACTCTTGGGCTTAACAAGTGATTCTCTTGCTTCAGCCTCCCAAGTAGTTGGGACTACAGGTGCCCACTACAATGCTCGACTATTTTTCTTTTCTTTCTTTCTTTTTTTTGTTGCAGTAGGCATTGTTGTTTAGCTGGCCTGGGCTCGGTGTATGTGGCCGGTGCCATAACCACTGAGCTACAGGTGTTGCCCAATATAGTCTCTTTAATAAGAAGTATGGAGAATCCTCAAAGAACTCAAAATAGACCTTCCATTTTATCCCACAATCCCATTACTAGGGAAGAATCTACTCAGAAGAAAAGAAGATCATTTTATTACAAGGACATTTGCCCCACTTTGTTTACTAAATTTACAATTGCCAGGTTATGGAAACAAATTAAATGCTCATCATCCTACGAATGGATTAATAAACTGTGGTAAATGTATACCATTGAGTATTACTTAGCCATAAAAAAGATGGAGATTTGGCTTGGCACCTGTGGCTCAAGTGGCTAAGGCACCACCCACATACACCTAAGGTGGTGGGTTCAAATGCAGCCTGGGCCCGCCAAACAACAATGTCGGCTGCAACCCAAAAAAAGCCAGGCGTTTTTGCAGGTGCTTGTTTTCCATCTACTTGGGAGGCGGAGGCAGAAGACTTGCTTGAGCTCAGGAGTTGGAGGTTGCTATGAGCTGTGCCACGGCACTCTACCCAGGGGGACAGCTTGAGGCTGTCTCAAAAAAAAAAAAAAAAGATGGAGATTTTACATCGTTTATATTAACCTGAATGCAGCTGAAATACATTCTTCTTAGTAAAGTACCACAAGAATGGAAAAGCAAGTATCAAATGTGATATACTAATCTGAAGCCAGTAAACAATCTAATACAAGTCCACACAGGAGAAAAACTCAATTCAATTCTACTTGGGGGTAAGGAGAAAGAGGGAGGGAGGAAAGAGGAGAAGGGAAGAGAACTAGTGTGCTCCCACTAAGTGGGCAGGTGTAAGGAGGGGTATACGGCACTCCTCCGGGGTGCAGGACAACTCTACCAGGACTTTACCTAACAAATGTAAACACTGTGACCTCACTGTACCCTCACATTAATCTGAAATTTAAAAAAAACCATAGTTAACAAGAGCCTTTTTAAATTAAGTCCACTAATAGAAAAAAAGTAGTAATTTACACTTAGTCTAAAGTTAGTTTTGAGAAGACTTGTGATTTTTAAATGCCCAGTGGAAAACTATATTATCTCATTTGTCAAGATGAAATTTATATCCATACAGGTGGCTTTTGCTTCAACCAATTTTATCTTTTCTGATACTCCAGTCAAATTTTAAATATCATATCTCATTTCAGAATCTTTTTGTTGCTGTTATTTGTTTTGTTTTGTCACCCTGGTGCCATGGCATCATAGCTCACAGTAACCTCAAACTCTTGTGTCAGCCTACCAAGCAGCTTGGGACTACAGATGTCTGCCACAGCATCTGGTTAATTTTTTGTATTTTTAGAAGAGAAGTGGTCTCACTCTTGCTTAGGCAGGTTTCAAACTCCTGAGCTTAGGTGATCTGTCCTTCTGGGCCTCCCAGAATGCTAGGATTACATGTGTGAACCACCACCCCCAGCAAGCATCTTATTTTTTAAAAAACCAACATTTTGGTAGAAGATAAATTTATACAATTGAACACTTTAAAACCATACAGCATTATTTTCTCACAGAGCATCAGATATTAATGTGTATGAATTACCTTGCAAAAGTAACAAAAATCATCTGAAAATCAGCACAACACTTTATGTATTTATTGTATAAGTTTGGCAAACAGCACAAAAATCCAGCAACATTTTAAACATGTATAAAAGTCAAATGCTAAACAGTACCAGAGATTTTTTTTTTTTAACATCATTAGAAATAATGAGTACACATTTAAGATTCTGCAAGCTAGCAAAACGAGGGTGCCTGGCTTCTGAACATATACCACAAAAACACATAGAAAAACAATATAATTTATCTTTACAAAAATTACAGCCAAGCAATAGAAAAGAAGTATGTTAATGAAGATACCAACACATATGTTTACTATGTATATCTTATACACTGAAATGCTACATCTTGTACCCTGAAATGCCATGTGTAGAGAGCCAAGCAGAGTAAATTTAGGCTCATCACTGAGGTTAAGAATTATCTGAGAAGAATTTAATTCTTACACATAACATAGTCCGCTAAAACCTATCTATAGCCATGACTAGATCATAACAATGTATTCCACTACATTCCGCTGTCTGAGAAGTTGAGTCTTCTCTGTTGGCAGTATAAAATTTCTGACCTGTATCAAAATTCTGGTAAAACACAAATTGAAGGCATTTTCTAGTGTATGCAAATGTTACAAGGGGCCTCAATGAATGTGGAAGAAAATCTTCGATTTTTCACTCTAAGTTTCTGCTGAGCTTTGTCAAACCAAACAGCTCAACTATAAGGCAAGAGAAAACAACCCCCTATAACAGATTAGTGTATCTATCAGGAAGATAAAGAAATTCAGTCTTAAGGAAAAATTCCCTACATGAATAGATCTGGAACAGTTGGCACTGAAAGAAACATCTACAAATGAACTAACATCTTGAGATTCAGTCATTGGTTCAGAAGCCTGACAAAAAATCTGTTGGCATATATTAATAAAAAATTAACTTTTTGGAATCAGCACCAGTCCCCAAAACCTCAAATAATAATATTTATTCTTCATTAAAATACATCCTTTTTGTGCTATATTAACACAACTACAATTAGGTTAAAGAAAGCTGAATTTATCCAACTTATTGTTATTTTTATATATAGTGGGTAGCAACTTAAATTTCTTTTATTTACTTGTGCTTCTGTTTTGGGGCACTTTGATTGAAGAGAAATTCATTTCACACGATTACATCTTGCTAAAGCATTCTTTAGCATTGGTCCAAACTTGAATGCCCTAAAAAACAAACATTTTTTTTTTAATATGATTCTGGAAGGAATCTGTAAACCTAAATATTTGTTTTAGTAGTATGGTAAGTTTTGCTTTTTGGAATAACTAACAAGTCCAGCAAATATGACACTATTTCAAAAAATAGCCAATATAAGTAAATGTCTAATGCTTCTAAAAAGAATAAGACAGGGAGGCACCTGTGGCTCAAGGAGTAGGGCACCGCCCCATATACTGGAGGTGGTAGGTTCAAACCCAGCCTCGGGCAATAAATAAATAAATAAATAATATGTCTTGTGTTTTAAAAAGAAAAAAAGAATAAGACAATCTTTTATATGACCTTATCTTCAAAATGGAGAAAGAATGGGACAATTTGTTGGAAAATTGAGTTTTCAAGGTTTATATCATAAACTCATTTATTCATTTGACACACTCATATCATGTCTATTTGTAAACTAAACAAGTTTTCAGTCAGTTTTTCAACATAATGTATGAAACAAAAACTTCCCTAACAAATATAAATTGAAATTATCAGCCTAATAATTAAAGTTCTGACAAAAAACTACTTTTTCTTTTTTTGAGACAGAGCCTCAAGCTGTCCCCCTGGGTAGAGTGCTGTGGTATCAAAGCTCACAGCTACCTCCAACTCTTGGGCTCAACTGAGTCTCCTGCCTCTCCCTCCCAAGTAGCTGGGACCACAGGTGCCTGCCACAACGCCTGATTGCAGCCGTCATTGTTGTTTGGTGGGCCCGGGCTGGATTCGAACCGCCACCTTGGGTGTATGCGGCTGGTGCCTTAGCCACTTGAGCCATAGGTGCTGAGCCAAAAAACTACTTTTGCAGTAAATTATCAAATCCCTCTTAGCAGATCTGGCTATAGATGGCCTAATATATTTAGACAAAAATGCATGTTTGTAAAGATGATGTTAACACTAAAACCTAAAAAAGTGGTAGAAACAAAGGTATTTTTCAAATAAACAAGATATGTATTCTCCAATAATAGCAAAGTTATGCAAAAGAAACTTTTTCTTTAATATATAAGCCTTAAAATGTGTAAATATTTAGCAAGGCCTTACACAAGTTTTGCCAAACCAAGAATCTTTTTAGTTTCCTTCTTCCCTGATGGGATACACAAAACAGATAAATAAAAACCAAAAATCTTACAAGGGTACAAGTGACTCTAAAAGTAGAGGGTGGTGCCTGTGGCTCAAGGAGTGGGGTGCTGACCCCATATGCCAGAGGTGGGCAGAGATGGTGGGTTCAGACCCAGCCCTGGCCAAAAACTGCAAAAAAAAAAAAAAAAAAGTAGAATATAAACGTCTTAACACAATGAGAAAATGACACGAAGGCTACGTTAAACAGTTTGATGAAAATACTTCAAATTGTGGCTTGGTGCCTGTGGCTCAAGTGGCTAAGGTGCCAGCCACATACACCTAAGGTGGCGGGTTCTAATCCAGCCCGGGCCCACCAACAACAATGATGGCTGCAACTGAAAAAAATAGCTAGGCGTTGTGGCGGGCGCCTGTGGTCCCAGCAACTTGGGAGGCAGAGGCATGAGACTCGCTTGAGCCCAGGAGTTGGAGGTTGCTGTGAGCTATGCCATGGCAGTCTACCCGGGGGACAGCTTGAGGCTCTGTCTCAAGAAAAAAAAAGAAAAAAGAAAAGAAAATACTTCAAATTGTATATGAAACATCACACTGTACCTACCCCACGATTGCATTAATGTACACAGCTATAATTTAATATAAAAAAAATCTGGCTGGACATGGTAGCTCACACCTTGTAATCCTAGCACTCTGGAAGGCCAAGACGGGAGGATTACTTGAACTCAGCAGTTTGAAACCAGCCTGGGGAAGAATGAGACCCTGTCTCTACTAAAAATAGAAAAAAAAAATTGATGGGTGTTGTGGTGGTGTCTGTACTCCAAAGGCTGAGGCAGGAGGCTCGCTTGAACCCATGAGTCTGAGATTGCTGTAAGCAAAGCTGACACAACAGCACTCAACCCCAAGGTGACAGAGTGACACTACGAAACAAAACAAAACTCCTTTAAAATGCCTCCAACCAAACAGATAAAGCCGAACCTAAGGGAGGGTTCACTGTTAGTGTAGGATCTTACGTACTGTCATTTGGAGTCCACAAGACATCAAGTGGAAAAGCAAAAACTACACAATCGCACATAAAATGTAGTCTGTTTTTGTGGAGGAGGAAAGTACATAGTTTCTAAATGAATGCATAGTTTAAAAATTCTGGAAGGATAGACATGAAGGTGTAACATTGGTGAGTTTTTATTTTTTATTTTATTTATTTTTTTTTTTTGCAGTTTTTTTTTTTGGCTGGGGCTGGGTTTGAACCCGCCACCTCGAGCATATGGGGCCGGTGCCCTACTCCTTGAGCCACAGATGCCACCACTGGTGAGTTTTTAAAAAGGAATTTTAAGGAAGGGGGGAGAATTTCAACATAATAGAATTCTGGATTATTTGGAATTTTTGCAATAAGCATATGTGCTATTTTAATAATAACTCATTTTTTAGTCTAGAAAGACAAAATAGCTTAAAAAACAATTATTCTTTGAAATCTTCAGCTTATTTGATTCATTAGGCCATTCACTATCAAAAGACTGAATAAAAAACGTATGAAAGTGCTATTTGCTTTTAAAGTACTGATTTAAGTTTTTTGCTTTGCTTTATTATTACTGCAATTTAGTCATCTGATTATACTCAATGAACACTTTGATTATATTCAATTAATACTCTGAATAGCTGACATTATAACAAAGCATGATAAAAGTTAATATAAAAGTGAAATGTACTGTAAAATATATGTTTACAATATATTGTAAAATAAATATAAATACAAAATATTTATATTTATTCAATATATTTATTTAAGAAAAACTGATATTACTTGACTTCTGGCACTTGATTTTAAGTACCTAAAGAAAATCACACTGTAGAATTTCAAATAAAAAACTCCTTGGGCAGCACCTGTGGCTCAATAGGGTAGGGTGCTGGCCCCATATGCTGGAGGTGGTGGGTTTAAACCCAGCCGGGGCCAAAAAAAAAATCTACTCCTTGGGTGGTGCCTGTAGCTTAAGGAGTAGGGTGCCGCTGGCCCCACATACCAGGGTTCAAGCCTGACCCCAGCCAAACTGCAAAAAGAATTGAAAAATCTACTCCGCTTAGGCAAGAAAATAGAACATCAAATTTTATAGTACCTTTCTTAGGAAATAAGGTGAACATGTTCTCTTATTAAATTCTTGTTTACTACAGTTATTATCTTAGGGTACATGAGTAAACCCAACACTATATCCAAACACATCTACGGTAACATCTGTTTTTATTCAGAGATTACATTTCTAGCACCCTCAATTACTCTACCCTAAACAAAGTGGAGGGGAGTCAGGTGCAGTGGCTCACGCCTGTAATCCTAGCACTCTGGGAGGCTGAGGTGGAGGGACTGCTTGAGTTCATGAGTTCAAACCAGCCTGAGCAAGAATGAGACCCCAGTTTCTACTAAATACAGAGAAATCTAGCTGGGCAGGTATCTGTAATCCCAGCTACTCAGGAGGCTGAGGCAAAAGGATTGCTTGAACCCAAGAGCTTGAGGTTGCTTTGAGCTATGATGCCATGGCACTCTACCAAGGGCAATGGAGTGAGACTCTGTCTTAAAAAAAAAAAAAAAATAGGGCAGTGCCTATAGCTCAGAGTGTAGGGTGCTGGCCACATACACCGAGGCTGGCGGGTTCTAACCTGGCCTGGGTCAGCTAAAACAACAATGGCAACAACAAAAAAAATTAGCTGGGCATTGTGGCAGGCACCTATAGTCCCAGCTACTTGGGAGGCTGAGGCAAGATAATCAGTTAAGCCCATGAGTTTGAGGTTACTGTGAGCTGTGATGCCACAGCACTTTACCCAGGGTGACAGCTTGAGATTCTGTCTCTAAATAAATAAATAAATAAATAAAGTAGAGAAGAAAGTCCTTGGAGCTACAATATAAAAGTTCATGCATGTTATTTTGGAAAAGAAGTAAATGAGAGATCACAGAGCTTATTAATAAGTCTTCCACAGGAAAAATAAAAACAAAAAACTAAAAATCTTTCATATCTCATCTTTCAGAATTCTGGACGTTAAAAATATCTGAGGTGAGTATGGTGGCTCACACATGTAATACTAGTGCTATTGGGAGGCCAAGGTAGGAGGATCATTTGAGCTCAGGAGTTCAAAACCAGCCTGAGTAAGAGTAAGACCCTATCTTTACTAAACACAGAAAAACTAGGGCGGCCCCTGTGGCTCAGTGGGTAGGGTGCCGGCCCCATATACCAAGGGTGGCAGGTTTGAACCTGGCAGGCCCCAGCCAAACTGTAACAAAAAATAGCCGGGAGTTGGGGTGGGCACCTGTAGTCCCACCTACTCAGGAGGCTGAGGCAAGAGAATCGCCTAAGCCTAGGAGTTGGAGGTTGCTGTGAGCTGTGATACTACAGCACTCTACCAAGGGTGATATAGTGAGACTCTGTCTCTAAAAAAAAAGAAAAACTAGCCAGGTGTTGTGGTGGGCACCTGTAATTCCAGCTACTCTGGAGGCTGAGGCAAGAGGATTGCTTAAGCCCAAGTTGTGAGCTATGACGACACCAGGGTGACGGAGTGAAACTCTATATCAAAAAACCAAAACAAAACAAGTTAGATTAGAAAAGAACTAGAAATGTCCAGCACCTAGGAGCAGGCCAAGAGGACTGAAAGGATAGATTTAGAGACACCACTGAACTATACACACTCAAAAATATATACACACTCAAAAGTATATACACACTTTAGGACCTGAAGATTCACCAGTCATGATTTTAACTTCTTTTATATGATCCCAAAGATCCACAGATAATGTAACTTATAATTTACCGAGGCATAAATATGAATTTACAAAAGTCAAAAGGAGCACACTTAACTAGTGAGTGAGTCTGGTATTTTGTCTCGAAATATCTCTATTCTCTACGGCCAATACTGGTGATACAAATGAAAGGGTAAAGGAAAGTGATGGCTCTTGCCAAAAAGTAAAACTTTTGGATAAATTAAAGGGAAAGAATTGTCTATGTGTTTACAGGAGTATGATTTTCCCTCTAAGGAGGTCTTCATAAATATAGGAATTCACCTTATGTAATTTTTATTTATTTATTTTAAGAGAGCCTTACTTAGTTGTCCTTGGTAGAATGTCACGGCATCACAGCTCACAACAACCTCCAACTCTTGGAGGCTCAAGCAATTCTCCTGCCTCAGCCTCCCAAGTAGCTGGGACTACAGGTACCCACCACAACTCCCAGCTATTTTTAGAGACAGGGTCTCGCTCTTGCTCAGGCTGGTCTTAAACCTGTGAATTCAGGGCAATGCATCTGCCTCCCAGAGTGCTAGAAATGCAGGCATGAGACACTGCACTTAGCCGTTATTATGTAATTTACTGACATTAATACATGTTAAATGCTTGATAAATTGTGATATGCTATGACAAGTGTAAAGCACTGACAATGACAGTCACATCAGCAGGTGTCAAGTTATTAGAAGAAGGTAAGGAACGGTTTCTATTTGGTTCTTTTTGTTGCTGTTGCTTTTTTTAAGAGGAAGGGTCTAACTTTGTTGGCCAGGCTGGAGTGCAATCATAGCTCACTGTAACCTTAAACTTGTTAGGTTCAAGTGATCCTCCCACCTCAGCCTTCCAAATAGCTAGAATTAAAGACACATGCCACCACACCTGGCTAATTTTTTTTTTTTTTTGGTAGAGATGGGTCTTGCTGTATCATCCAGGCTGGTCTCAAACTTCATGTCTTTAGCAACCCTCCTGTCTCTGCATCCTATATTTTGTTCCTTTTTTTTCTCCTTTATTCTCTGCAGAGAACATCAAAAATTGTCAATGCCTACTATATTGCAAGTGATCATGGAGGGGTCTTGGAGAAGTTTTCAATTAGTAGTAAACATGCCTTAGAATAGGTGTCCTCAAACTATGGCCTGCGGGCCACATGCGCCTCGCCTAGGACATTTATCTGGCCCGCCAGGTGCTTTTGCCACCACTGCCTGTCCCGCTTAGCAGCGGACTTGTCCCGGGGCCCACAGTCGGGCCCTCCAACAGTCTGAGGGACAGTGAACTGGCCCCCCTGTTTACAAAGTTTGAGGACGCCTGCCTTAGAAAAACCACATTGGCGGGTGGCACCTGTGGCTCAAAGGCGTACGGTGCTGGCCCCATATGCCGGAGGTGGCAGGTTCAAACCCAGCCCTGGCCAAAAACTGGAAGAAAAAAAAAAAAAAACCACATTGGCTATGATACTGTGACTACGCAAAGCTCCATATTTTGTTCTTAACAGACCATTTCAGAAATACTTTGGCCATCATCAAATCATTCTTTTTAACTAGAATAAACTTAATTTATTTATTCTGAGACAAAGTCTCAATATGTCGCCCTCAGTACAGTGCCATGTCATCACAGCTCACAGCAACCTCCAAACTCTTGGGCTCAAGCAAACTCTTACCTCAACCTTCCAAGTAGCTGGAACTACAGCCACCCACCAGAACACCTGGCTATTTTTTGTTGTAGTTGTCATTGTTGTTTAGCTGGGTGTATGTGTATGATGCTGTAACCCTCGGTGTATGTGGCTGATGCTGTAACCACTATGCTACGGGCACCAAGCCTATTTATTTTTTTGAAACAGAGTCTCACTCAAGTTGCTTTGGGGTTGAGTACTGTGGCATTACTGTTCACAGCAACTTCAAACTCTTGGGCTCAAGCTACCCTCTTGTCTCAGCCTCCCAACTAGCTGGGATTACTGGTGTCTACCACAATGCCCGGCTAGTTTGAAAGACAGAGTCTCACTCTTGCTCAGGCTTGTCTTGAACTTGTGAGCTCAAGCAATCCACCTGCCTCAGCCTCCTAAAGGGCTAGGATTACAAAATGGCCTTTAGAATAAACTTTAATGTTCATATCTTTCACTATGGATATCAGCATTAAGAAGGGTTTATCGGCTCAGCGCCTGTGGCTCAAGCAGCTAAGGCGCCAGCCACATACACCTAAGGTGGCGGGTTCATATCCCCAGCCCGGGCCCGCCAAACAACAATGATGGCT